GAGAGTGTGTACAGATGGCATGACTCCTTGCAGCAGGGGATAAAGCAGCCAAACATTGGATTTGAGAGTTGAAGCCAGTTACAGGCAGAACTTGGCAGAAGTTGCCAATGCAAAATCAGTGAAAGTACAGAGTGGGGGATGTGAGGGAGGTTGGTTTGTTTTGGGAAAGAAATGTCCAGGGGCCAATGTTAGGAGGTAGTGCATTATCCATGTGAGCTGCCAGGCCTGGGGACAAAGGGTAGAGATGAAATTCCTCTTCAGAACAACAGCCCTGTTGGAAGGTCTGGGGGGAAAGGGAGAGAGCAGAGGTCCTAAAATAGAGTGTTAGAGGGTGACTCTCAAAGAAGAGAGGGTCATTGGCAGGACACTCTAGGTCAATGTCATGTAGGCAATTGAGAGTTGCATTGTCTGTTGCCTGGTATTTCTCAAAGTCCCTGCCCTGCACCCTCCCTCCTTGAGGCTCACAATCCAGACTCCTTCGTTGGCCCTGGGTTGGGTTTCGCCAAGCTGGGCTGAAAATCAGCCTGTCTAATGGTTAAGGGAGAGGAGGCGCCAGGTCTTCCGTTTCCTCAGAGGGAGTCCGAAGGTGGAGAAGGGACTTGAGAGCTGGATTTGCTCACCTTTGAGGTTTCTTCTGTTTAGGAAAGGAAGTTTTGAGATTTCACAGAATTCCTGGCTTTTTCCCCAAAGGTCCAAAGTGGTAGATTTTCAGGGAAAGTTCTGTTTCCACAGTGGGGATTTAATGGCAGGAATGGCTAGTGGAGTTAGGAGCTCAGGTTTTTAGGTAGATGGCCTTGGTTAAATTTTTCTCTTCCTTTTATTAGCTGTGTGATTCTGGGCAAGTACTTGACCTCTCCTGCTTCAGTTTCTTCACTGGAGAAATAGGAAAAATGATTATCCATGATTCCCAAGTTAAAAAATCCCTGTAATCCATACAATTTTTTGTAACTCATATGGTGGCTAAACCTGATTGGAAAAGTAGTGAGGTTATTTATGGTCTTTTAAAAAATCATACTGAGGGAAATGCAAATTAAAACCACAGTGAAATATCACCTCATACCAGTTAGTATGGCCAGCATGGAAAAGACTAAGAACAAATGCTGGCAAGGATGCAGAGAAAGGGGACCCTCTTACACTGCTGGTGGGAATGTAAACTAGTCAACCATTGTGGAAAGCAATATGGGGGTTCCTCAAAAAACTAAAAATAGAAATACCATTTGACCCAGGAATTCCACTCCTAGGAATTTACCCTAAGAATACAAGTTCTCAGATTTAAAAAGACATATGCACCCCTATGTTTACTGCAGCACTATTTACAATAGCCAAGATATGGAAGCAACTTAAGTGTCTATCAGTAGATTAATGGATTAAGAAGATGTGGTACATATAAACAATGGAATACCATTCAGCCATAAGAAAGAAACAAATCCTACCATTTGCAACAACATGGATGGAGCTAGAGGGTAAGCCAGGTGGAGAAAGACAAGTACCAAATGATTTTCCTCATTTGTGGAATATAACAACAAAGCAAAAGAGCAGCAGACTCACAGACTCCAAGAAGGCACTAGCAGTTACCAAAGGGGAGGGATGGGGAGAGAGGGAGAAGGGGATTGAGGGGTATTATGATTAATTAGTACACATGGTGTGGGGGAGATCACAGGGAAGACAGTGTAGCACAGAGAAGACAAGTAGTGACTCTGTGGCATCTTACTACACTGATGGACAGTGACTTCAATGGGGTATGGGGAGGACTTGATAATATGGGTGAAGGAAGTAACTACATTGTTATTCATGTGAAATCTTCATAAGAGTGTATATCAATAATAACTTAAAAAATTGTAAAAAATTAAAAAATTAAAAAATAAAATAAAAACAATAATTAGCACAATTGCTGAAACTGAAAAAAAAAGAAAATACAAAGATCTCAAAAAATGTAAATATATGGGCAAATGTAAAAGCTAAAAAAAAACCATACTGACACTTTTTATACATTTTTACTCCAGAAATACTAATTATTTGATTATGGGCTGCTGCCTTTGGGGTGTTATATAATATGAAGTATTTGTACTGTTTTACTTTTCTAAAACTTGAATTTTCTGAATTCTGAAATGTCTGGCCCTATGAATTTTGAATATGGGATTTATAGGTCTATAATGATTACCTCAGAGTTTTGAGATTTAAATAATTTTGTAAAGCACTTCCAATGGCTGGCACATGGTAAGTGCTTAATAAAAGTTTAGTGTTATTCCTGTTACATAGGTTTGTTTGTGGGCCTGAGTAACTTCAATTCTAGATGTACTGAAGGAATCTGCCAATATTTTTCCCTTCTGAATTCTCCTTTTCTAGACACCATGCCCCCAGTCACCATTTGTAGTGCAGTCACTTAGCAAGTCATCTTTGCTGTTTATCATTATCTTCCTAGCATCACACACAGTGTCTGATTTGTGATATAGATGTTTAAAATATATTTGAGTGAATCCAGGCTGCTTCTCAGAAGCTATACTCAAAATGCCTTGATTAGATTTTTGTGTGTCACTTTCTTAGCTCTCTCCTACAATGGCTTTTAATTTTAATTTTTCTTAAGGGCTGTGATAGAGGTAGATTCATTATTTAGTTTCTAGTATAAATTAATTTATCTAAAAAAAGTTTTTTCTAGATACAATTCACATAACATAAAATTCACCCTTTATTTAGAGCTCACAATTTTGTGATTTAGTATTTTCATAGAGTTGTGTGACTATCACTCCTATGTAATTTAAGAACATTTCCATCACTCCCAAAAGAAACCCTGCACCCATTAGCAATCATTCCCCACTCTCCTCACTCCAGCCCACAGGGACTGACATTTTAATATCCCAACATTTTAATATCCCAAATTTCATTCTTGGATGATAACTTTGAGTTTGGGGGAGGTAGTTATAGTGCCATTTGTTTCATGTCTTGACTACAGTATGTAGTTCCCAGGCCCCCTCAAATCCTAGGATGTCTTCAGTTACTCCTCTTCTCTCTGGCAAGTAGTGGTGAATGAGAAAGTAAGCAAAAGGGGGAGAAGCAGAGGAGGGCTTCTTTAAGGGGTGGATCCCTCATGTTTCTGTTTTGTACTGTTCTTTAGTTAGTATTGTCTCAGAAAGATCCAACTGACTGTTTCACTCTGTAACATGACATACATCATGACAGGTCCTTTGTATCCTGCCCTCTCCACTTACATTTCTAACGGGGTAGTGATTAAGAGCAGGCTCTGAAGATAAACTTAGTTCAAAATCTGGCACTTTGGTCACTCTAAAAATTCAATGCAATCCTTATTAAAATAGCAATAGCATTTTTTCACTGAACTAGAGCAAATAATACTAAAATTTATATGGAATCACAAATGCAATCTTGAGAAAGGAGAACAAAGGTGGGAAGGTATTTGTACCCTGATTTCAAACTATACTACAAAGTTATAGTAATCAAAACAGTATAGTACTGGCACAAGAACAGACCCATAAATCAATGGAACAGGGTAGGAGCTCAGAAATAAACTCATGTCTGTATGGTCAATTAACATATGACAAAGAAGGCAAGAATATACAATGGGGAAAAGACAGTCTCTTCAATAAATGGTCTTGGGAAAACTGGACAGTCTCACGGAAAAGAATGAAACTGGATTACTGTCACACCAAATACAAAAATAAACCTGAAATGGATTAAAGGCCTAAATGTAAAACCTGAAACCATAAAACTCCTAAAAGAAAACATAGGCAATAAACTTTAAATTGAAGTATCATTGATATACAGTCTTATATTGGTTTCAAGTATACAACACAGTAGTTCAACAGTTACCATATTACTAAATCCTCACCCCCACTAGTGCAGTTACTATCTGTCAACATAGGACAATATTACAGAACCAGTGGCTATATTCTCCATCCCCATGGCCAATTTATATTGTGAGTGAGAATTTTTGTGCCCTTTCATTCCCCTCAACCTCCCTACCCACCCACCCAAACCTTTCCCTGATGGTAACAAACCAGTCACTTCTCAGGGTCTCTGAGTCTACTATTACTTTGTTCATTTGTTTTGTTTTGTTTTTATATTCCACAAATAGGTGAAATCATATGGTATTTGCCTTTTTCTGCTTGGCTTATTTCACTTTAATAGGTGGTGGGACTATAAACTGGTGCAGCAACTATGGAAAACAGTATGGAGTTTCCTCAAGAAATTAAAAATAGAAATACCATAGAAACCAATAATTCCACTTCTGAGTTTTTACCAAAAGAAACAAGATCATTAATTTGGAAAGATATATCAATCCCTATGTTTACTGCAGCATTATCTACAATAGCCAAGATATGGAAGCATACTAAGTGTCCATGAATAGATGGATGGATAAAGATGCAGTACATGACACAATGGAGTATTATTTAGCCACAGAAAAAGAATGAAATCTTGCCATTTGTGACAATATGGATGGACCTAGAGGTATTATGCCAAGTGAAATAAGAGGAAGACAAGTTCCATGTTATTTCACTTAAATGTGGAATGTAAAGAAAAAAAAAACAAAACCAAAATGAACAAAGAAGACAGAAATAGACTCATAAATACATAGAACAACCAAAACTGGTGGTTTCTATAGGGGATGGTAATACAGGGGACGGGCAAAAATGGTGAAGGGGATAAAGAGATACAAACTTTCAATTATGAAATAAATAAGTCAGGGGGATGAAAAATACAACAAAGTAGGACAGTCAATAATATTATAATAGCTCTGTATGGTGATGGATGGTAGCTACACTTATGGTGAGCATTTTGTACACCTGAAACCAATGTAGTATTGTGTATCAACTATATGCAAAAAAAAAAGTCGCCTCAGGTTTCCTTATCTATAAAATGGGTACAACAATAGTACCTATTGTTTTGAGGATTGAGTTGAAATAATAGATGTACATATTCTATATTATACATACACACACAATAAAAATATTAGCTATTCTTTGTAAGAATATAGTAATTTATCCTCCATGTTCTGGGTAAGAAGGGTCGCGGCGAGATACCCTTTCATTCTTTCCTTTTGGTTACCATTGCCCTTTCCTCCAACTGGAAAACCTGGAACTTGCTGACCCTTGAAGGAAAGAAGAATTTCATACCTCTATGACTTTGCTGGAATCTCTACTTTGCCTCTCTGGACGTCTATCTACATTCTTAAGGTTAGCTGAAATTTTAGCTGTAGCTTCTCTGTAGTTTAATCTCCGTTGCCTCTAAGAATTGCTCCTTCTTGTGTTTCCACAGCACATTGAACACCTTTTTATAGCACTTACATTGCATTATAATTATTATTATACATATATTTGCCTACTGCAGTTCTTGTCACATAGTAAATCTTTAATGGTCGAATTCTACCAATGTAAGACTAAGTGTCTTTGAGGGGGTGGGTCAGAAGCAAATGATCCAAATACACATTATTGGTTAACTAAGTTGATTCCGTCCAGAAAGGAAAAGACCAGTATCTTAGAGTGTGTGGTGGTCAGAAGTGATTTTAATAGGACGGACTTAAACTTGCTTTATTCAGTTACATTTTTTTACATCTGGAAATGGACGTTCACCCAACCACATGGTCTTTATTCATTTACGCTACAAATATTTGTTGCATATATGCTCCTTTGGGCGCAGGAGTTGCCGTCTTAAGAGAAAGGCTAGTTTGAAAGTGCTTGGGGAATTCCCATTACCTTACGCCTGTTAGTGTTGTTTAAATCTTGGCTGAGTCTGACAGGCTTGATGACTTTACGGCGGACTGAATTGGAGGTTTGACACTCGCGTAGCGCGGACCGAGCTACAACGAGCGAGGGAACGCGCCGGCGTGGGCGCGTGCACAGGGAAGGCGAGCGCGAGCCGGGCTGGCAGAGGGAGCACACCGGAAGCAGGCACGCGCCGGGCGCCGTGACGATGACGCTAGACGTGCTGGCGCAGCGCGCAGGCCGCCGCGGGGGGCGGACTCTAGACCTTTCTTCCCTTCTGGTTTCCCCCTCCCCCCTTTTCTCCCTTTCTGGGCTTGGCTCCCCCCTTTGCACCCCCTCTTCCCCCTCCTTCCCCTCCCCCGCCCCAGTCCCCCTGGTCCCCCGCCCTGGGCCCCGGGGGAGCTCCCTCTGAGAAAGAGACCCCCCCCCCCGGAAGCGCGCCGCCCCTGGCGGTCGGGGCCGAGCCGCAGCCGAGTGGCCGTGGGCCCGGGCGGCGGGCGGAGACGCGGGCGCCTTCCCCGCTGCGCCCCGCGTGAGGTGAGGCCATCTCCTGGCCGAGGGGCGGGCGGCGCGGGCGACCGTGGGGAGGGGGCGTGGCGGCCGCGCGGGCGGGCTGGGGCCCTGACCTGGGTACCTCGTGTTGGAGCTGTCCGGCTGGTGGGGAGGAGGGTCAGGGCCGGATCCTCCCGTCAGGGACTGCCCCGAGGCCAGAGACGCCCCGACGGGGCGCGGGGGCTCTGGGCGGGGGTGCTGGCGCCACCTGTGGCCTGTTGCTGGGAACCAGGCACTGTTGCGCCCTTGTAGTACTTGGGGGTGACTAGGTCCATGTGTTTCTTGGGTCTCCGTTTTTCTGGGAGCATTGGAAAAATGGGAAGGGAGGGTGTTGCAATGTTAAAAACACGGCGGTGTCCGAGTGTATAAAGGGACAGAGATTTAAGTTGGAACATAACACGGAGATGTTTCTGTAGCTCTAAAGTTGGGCCTGCGCTATGCCCATAACTCACTCTTGAGCCTCTGAAAACTCAGTTTTTGGTTTCCTGTAGAGCCAAAAATTTTCAACCTTTGTGATCATTAGCCTAACTCCACAGACTATTCACTCAGAGTGAGTTTTCTTGGATAATGATGAGAAATGAGCAAATAACAGCCGCAGAAGTTCATTAAACCAAGAAAGGTATGGGAGAATCTTTTCCAGTTTTATGAGAAATGTTGACATATTGTGTATGTTTAAGGTGTACAGCGTGATTGTTTGATTTACATATATTGTAAAGTGATTATCGAAATAGGTTCAGCTAACAGTCATCATCCAATAGAACAATTAGAACAAGAAAAAAAATGTTTCTTCATGATGGGAACACTTCGGACTCTGAACAACTTTCCTGTATATCATACTGTCGTGCAGCAGTATTAGCTATAGTAGTATTGTATATATGTCCCTAGTATTTACTTAAAACTTGGCAATTTGCACCTTTCCTCTGATTCCCCCTCTCCCCCACTTTCTGCTAACCACATACATGTCTGATTTCTTTATGAATCTCATTCTTTTTTTTTACATTTCTTTTATTACCTGAAACACAGGGTCTTTCTCTGACTTACATGCCTTCAAGGTGCATGTTGTAACTGGTAGGATTGCCTTATCTTTTATGGCTGAATAATATTTCATTGTATATACAGTTGACTTTTGAGTATGGGTTTGGTCCACTTACATGCAGATTTTTTTTCCATAAATACATTGGAAAGTTTTTTTGAGATTTGAGACAATTTGAAAAAAACTTGTAGATGAACCACATAGCTTAGAAATATTGAAAAAATTAAGAGAAAGTTAGGTATGTCCAATGCTGTATTATGAATATGACTAATACTGTATGCCATAAAAATTTCATGATAAATTCATTAGTGTATAGGCTAGGCTGCTGTGAAGTAGTCGTTTTGTTTACAGTATGCTACCACAGAGCAATCATATTGCTCCTGCTTTATAAATAAGTACGAGTTTCTCTTTCACATCTTTTCATTTCTAATGTTTTGTGTTAGTAATACATGTAAATGTAACATCTGTATGTTTTGTATCATGTAAGACAGTGTTGATGTAGGTACTGACATGATTCATCTTGTAAACAGACAAGGTAATCTTACGGTACTGATAAATACAGTACTATGAATGTATTTTATGTTCCTTATGATCTTCTTAACCTTTTGTTTTCTCTAGCTTACTGTATTATAAGAATACAGTATATAAACATATAACTTTACAGAATAGATGTTAATTGACTGTTTATGTTATCAGTAAGGCTTCTAGCCAACAGTAGGCTGTTAGTTAAATTTTGGGGGAGTCAAAAAGTTACTTGTGGATTTTTGACATGCTTCCTATTTGTGGATTTTGACACCAGCTTCCCTAAACCCCATGTTGTTCAGGGTCAGCTGTGTATATACTACAACTTCTTTTCCTGTTCATGCATGGATGGACACTTAGGTTATTTTCATGTCTTGGTTATTGTGAATAATGTTGCAAATAAACATGGGTGTGCAGATACCCTTTCAATTAGTGTTTTTGTTGATGTGGAAAAATTTAAATTTGGTCTCTGTTGGATGAATATTTCTATACATGTTATTTCCAGATGGGTTTAACTACAGTGGAGAAGCCTGGGTCCTGTCTGATGTTGATAGGCAACTTGGAGGCTGGGGAGGAGAGAAGTGGTATTTTCCACTTTAGGGATGTAACAATTCCTGGCATTTGATTGTAGTTTAGATGGTCAAATTGTTGCTTGAATTAGTTTGTGGCTCCTCTTTCTTCCTAATGCTTTCCCCCCACCCCCCCACCATTTTCTTTCTCCAATAGTTCCTATTTTTTCCCTTTCTGGAGGCTGGGGCATTGAGACAAAAACTATTTAAATTAAATTAATTCAATTCAATTTTTAGTTGTTGTTACTCCTTCCCCATTGCTGGTCCCCACAGGGTTGAGAGTACAGAGGACCCTTTTGAAGGTCTGATTAACCGTCAGCAAAAGTAAATTTTAGAGTTGCAGTTCCATTTATCTTTATGTCCATTATACCATCTATACTGTGGATTTCTACAGTTTCAAACAAAACTTTAAAAATGTGCCTATGTAAAAATAGGGTGCCTGATATTTTTTAATGGAAAGGAGTCAGAATGGGAGGTGGCTTCCTTTCTCTTTCAAAATAAAAACTAAGACTTTACAGTTGCCTTTAAAGCCCTAGATCTGTAGCACCCTTCTCTCCAACATACTTAGTGGTCTCCTGGCTGTTCCTTGAGCACAGCAGGCACACTTCTGCCTTGGGGGCTATGCACTTGTTCTCAGCATCTTCCTGTCTCATCTTTTCCTTATAAAGCTGCATAGCCTTGTCCCTTCTCCTCTTTCAGATGTCACTCTAACAGTGACATTTCCTTGACTTTCTAAATTGCATAGCCTCTCCTACGCATACAGAACTCCCCATCTCACTTCTCAGCTTTATTTTCCTCTCTGCCTCAGCGTGTACTATACTATATATTTAGTTTCCCCCAGTGGGAAGTAAGCTTCATGAGGGCAGATAGTCTTGTTTTGTTAATTGCTGTATCTCAGCACTTAGCATGGCACTTAAGATGCATTCTGTGCTCAACAAACTTACCAGGTAAAGAGGGGGAGTTTTATTTTTGAACAGTTATTGTCATGAATTTCTGATTGTGATTAGTTGTCTTTGGAGGTACAGAATGGATTTTCACTAGGATTTTTTGTAAGGTACTCATTGGGAGTCTCAAGATGTTTTTTTCTGTCAGTTCTTGCTACATTTCTGTTTTGGCAGAAATCTAGTGCTTTCGGGTTATTGAATGAAAGCACTTTGAAGTCAGAGTGTTGGTATATCTTTGGCATTGGTAGTCTTTGAGGAAGATAGAGGAAGATTATCTCAGAGCTCATGTGGCTAGAATTTTTACCTACTGCTTCGGGTGCTTCCCTTGAGGTTTGTGCACTAACTGATGTGCACTAACCTCTTTGGCCCTAGAATGCTGAGCAGACTGATTCCACTTTGAATTTTTCAGAAGACTGAAGATGTTAATAGTTAAGTTCAAGCTGTATGGGTTAGATTTTTTTCTCCAGTTATGTGGAGACAGTTGAGCTAAAAAAACTATAAGGCTTTCTTTAACAATGGAGGAGTGTTCGTTTATGGGGAGCCTCTGATCCTTTTTTTAATAAACACATTTTTGGGGGCATTTATAGCAACTCAGTTCTATGTCAGTCTGAGGATAAAAGGAGCAGGTCCCCTGAGTTCTGTGGATTATCCCTCATTTGTTTTTTCCTTTCTTATTTCTTGATTGGTGTATTTGTTACCTTCGTTGACCTCTGGCTAGAATGGCCTGGATGAGATTTCTCTTTGGGGCAGTCCAGGCCACTGTTACCCAGCTTAGGAAGGCAAAGGGAGTGAGGCAGTGCTTTTAACAGTTTGTGGGAATGCTCTTGGCAAAGTAAGATTTTTCCTTAAACCTTTGACAGGACATTGAAAGCTGCCATACCTTTAAGAGAACAGTTGGGATAGGGGTGGGGGTGGGTGGAAAAATTAGGGATCTTCTATCTGTTGGACTGGTGGTTCTGATATTAGCATAAATAAATAACAGCATCAGAAGCATATTAGTTTTATAACAGTTTCTGATATGACAGAAGCTTAAATGAAACTTCTATCATCCTCTTTTAAATCCTTTTAAAAGATTTTTAACAGAGTTTCTATTTCTCGGAAGTCTTTCTTAGGCCGCAGAGATACTGAAACATCTCTATACTGTTTTCTAATGTTGTACAGATAAATACTGAGCACTGACAACATTTCAGTGTATGAACAGTTTCTAAATGACGCTGTGCTTATTCCTCTGCTTCCTCTCTTCAGGAACTCAAGGAAAGCTTTCAGAAAAAAGCAGAGTTTGAGAAAGGGATAAAAAGTATTGCATGGTCCCAGGAAGTACAGAGGAGATAATTTTGTGAAACTGTGTGGTGTGTATGTGTAGTTTTCTATGTATGCCTTCCTGTAAGATTGGGTAAGGGACTCTGAGTGTCCCTCTGTGGAATGTGCTATGAACTTTCAAGTAGGAAAAATAACTGGACTCAGCTTGAATGTGTGTTCATGAATACAGTTAGTGGGTGTAATTTTAGAGACCTCCTTCATACACAGTGGCTTTAGTATTTTCCTCCACCTATATCCTTCTCACCCTCTGTGTAGAAAGCATTCCACTTAGTAGTCTTTTAGTGGTTAACTTTAGTTCTTACCAAAGTTGCCAGTTTAGCAGTGTACACGTGTTCCATCTGTGCAATGAAGTTACTCTGTCCGGATTTATTTCTGAAAGGATACAGATAGGAAAGAATTCTTAACTGTGATGTTTTGAGCCCTCTTCAAGTTCCTTGGATTTCCTTAGCATATATTTTCTCCAACACTTAAAAAATACTGATATTGAAAGCCTTTAATTACAATAATCTACAGTGGTGTCATCGTTTTTACTCCAGATGTAATAAAGATTCTGGATGCTTCTTAAATCCAGGTGTTCTTTTTGCTTTTCTGCTGAAT